CCCCTCCATCATTTAACCCCTTCATGACGAGTGACGCCGGTAGGCGTGAAAACAAACCGCTTGAAAAGTGGCGTGCAGCTGTACGCCACGGCAGCGCGCCAAAGCACGGCGAGATAGTGATTCGGGCTGATGTACCAAAGTCACGCGCTCAAAGTCGGCATGCTGCCATTGTTTGCCAGACCGTAGAGTTTTTTTTTTTTTTTTTTTTTTTTTTCTCTTCACCCATCACCATTGGGTTAATAGATATATTATAAAAAAAATCATTTTTATTGTACTTTATTTTCATATGGAATTCTAGAATACTTGTTGATACTTGGTACATTATTTTTCACAGGTTAATGGAGCAGTCATCAGACGTTTGTCTTACCCAGTTTCAACAGGCAAACATGCACTGCGGCAGCAGGCTCGGCGTCGAAGACGAAATACCTCAATTGCTGCTGGCAATTCCCCCCCAATTACTCGTGTTACTATGAAGAGTGTAGCTGCAACCTCACCCAATCCAGCATCACAGTCTCTTCATCCAGCAGTTAGCCCTCCTGCCTCATTGTCTCCTCCACTGTCTAAACCACTGGAAAAAACAAATGTGTTCACTGCAGTCACCACCCCTTCCCCTCCCACCTCAAGGTCAGGGAATAAAGCCACCCACTCGCCCGGCCAGGGGACGGCAGGGTCCAGATCTGCAGCCAAAGGGAGTGCCACGAGCAGTCATCCTGTGGCTGGCACGAGGGTCAGCTCCCGGATAGCCAACAATGCAGCAGCAAACAGTGGCCTCCACAGTGCCAGCTCCTCTATGCAACCAAGCATGCCTCAAACTGGTGCTAATGCTAATGCTTTATCCTCAGGCACACAGGGTGAGTGGGTTTTGTTATTTTTTAAGGCTCAGTAAAGCATAAAAAATTGTGAATGCATGGAGAATTATCAGCATACTTTATGATATTTGGTTAGGGTATGAATGACTTGATGCTGCAGTGGTAGAATATAGAAAGTTGAGAAAACAGTGAATGATGCCGAAGTTTGCCAAGATCACTGTGACTGTAAGGCAAGGAAGAAACAGTGATGAAGTTTGATGTGGAATTTAGGAGACATAGGAGTATATGTAGGAAGTGACAGATTGACGTGTGAATGAAGAAAGTAGTATGAGGGGTGGACAAGCATTGCCTGGTACTAAGGGGACTTTCCTGTATGGGGTGAAAGGGAACAAATGGGTGGTCACACTATTCTTGTCTGTCTGGGAATCCCGAGCCACACTGTCTGTCAGCTACAGAGAGGGATTGGTTACACTATGCACAGCATCCCTCCGTAAAAAAGCATTGTTCCTGAAAAGACCAAACAGTCTACAATAACCTTGTGGATGAACTTTGCATCAAAGATAGCCATGGATTCTATGAATATCATTGCATTTACTGTAAACTGAAAAAAATCAAGAAAGAAGACACTTAACTTAGAAAAGCCAACCCATCCATTTTATTAATTATCGTATATCATACAACAGGGCCAGTTACTCTGATACCCCATATTTCATCAGATAGAAAATACGACAATAGTCTTTCCAACAACACATACCACTTTTAGTGTAATCAGTAATGTACAAGAAACCTAATCAAGCAGTAAGCTTCCTAGTAATTATAGTACATTAATTGTTTTGGAATTATCTTTCCTTTATAGCTGAGGTGAAAGACCAAGACAGCGGTGCCACTCCAGGCAGGATTTTCATCTTGGTTCTCTTCACAGCTGGGAAAGAATCCTACTCTATAAAATTGATTACTTGAATGTCTGAACACTGATTATTATATCATATTAGGTATAATTGTACTGTAGAAACAAGTAATATACGTTAATTCTTATCCTATGGTTGACGTGGAGTTCACGTAGGGGCTGACTTGGTCCTGGCTCTGGGTGACGTGTCTTTCACTTTATGGCTGACAATATGTGACATATGCTGTTCTTTATAAGGAACTCTCATACCCACATGCACATGCCCTGTGACATTGACTGAGGGAGAATGAAATGTATAATGCTATGTCTGGAAGATGTCACACACCAAAACATGGCACTCTCTTGCTGTTGATGTGAACCTGTCAGTAACCTTCACTTTTGTTTACGAGATCTGTCTCCTCGTGTCAACTACTCATATTGCCTTTTGGCACTCTGCTAATATGACTTTCATGAAGTATGACACAAATAAGGGAAGTACTGAAGCCATGATGCCAGCAACCACTGCATATATCACTGCATGAAATATCTTATTTCGTATAAATCATTTTTGAGAAAATTTGTGATTTTTTAAATATTTTTTATCCTTCAGTAAAACCACATTCAATTTTGTACATAGAGTGTACCATACCTTATTTACTGAATTGGACTCTAATGTACATAATCAGACTATTACAGATTCAATCTGTCAACTAAAATGTATATGTGTCTCTGAGTATGCAAAAACATTAAAATCATGTTTTGCATACAAACTTTGTTGGTGTGGTGCGGCAAGTGCAACATACCAAAAAGGCCCAGGAGGCAAGCCTAGTCACCTGCACATACTACCTGGAGTGGAGGCTAATTGAACCCCATATTCTCCTGGAGGCAATGGGTTAAACAACTAACAATAGTTCCTCACTTAAATTTTTAAGATTATACAGATAAACATTCATTTCATCAACAATACAAATGCACACCCACTCCATCATACTGAAGACATGGTGCTGGTGGACAAAGTAATAGCCAGAGAACAATTATGAAATCACAGCCACAAATAATATTTGCATGGCTGGCAAAGCACTGTCAAGATTGATAGTTAATGATATTTAACTCGAATTTCAGTGATAGTATTTACTTCTACCCAACTTTAGTTTGTATTAGTCCACAAGTACGTCTTGTACATCACTGATAACACTAAAAGTGGTACATGTTATTGGAATGTTACTGTTGAGTTTTCTATTTCTGTTAACCCTACAATAACAGTACCAGAGATCTCTTGGTGTCACTCTCTGGTGACTGTCAACCATCTAGCATTTTGGCCAGGGAGTCTGCTACTTGTAGTGGAACTTCTTGTGGAACTTGAACTGTACCTGCCATGATGAATTGTTTTTTCATGATGGCTATAGGTGTGCCCATATGTGTAGTTCATCCAAGAGATTATTGTAGACACTATGGGTGACACTATACAGTGTGACCAATCCCCCTGGCTTATACCTGACAGACATTCAGCGTGCCCGTCAGGGGATCCCTGGTGATGTGGAACAAGTGTGATCACTGTTCAAGGCTAGATTTGTATTTTGCCCTAAAAAATAACATTGTCTTGACACTTATTGTGTTTTCCTTGTGAATTTCAAGAGACCAGGTTTTGTGGATTATCCATGGGTGAAGCTTTCCCCCCCTCTGCCCAAATGCTCTCTTTATGCTTCACCTCGATATTATGATATGTGATGAACTGTAAAAAAAATGTGTATAAACTTGAATAGCCTGAGTAGGGATTATTAGAAGAAATTTTTAAATTTTGTGATATGGGATTATCATGAGAGAATTTCTTTAATTGCTTCTATTTGTATAGAATTAAAAAAAAAAAAAGGAAACAAGAAGTTGCATCTAGATATTCACATAGAAAAATAAGGACCAATATGAAAAGGCACTGAACATTTAAAGTATTATACCATAGTTATAGATAGTTTTGGAAGGAAAATGAAATAGAAAATTATTTATTTTATTCTTTAATTTTTATAAACTTTTAATAGATGTGACCTTATCTGTTATGTAAAAGATGAATTTTATGGCACAAGTGATATCACAATTACTTGGCTTGTGGATTTTAAAAATTTCCTTTTTTAGAGGGATTCTGAAGATACCAATATGTGCAAACAAAGGATAGGATCAAAATTTCAGTGCATACATTTCTGTTAACCCTACGATGACAGTACCAGAAATCTCTGGGTGTCACTCTTTCTGGTGACTTGGCTTGGCTATTGAAAGAAAAATGAATATTGTTTACAGTCATTTATAGTAATTCCATGTTTCCAAACAACAGTAACAATTGTTTGATTGAAGTGGCTTGAACTTTGTTTCTGTTTATGAATAGTAACATGCATGTTTGTTAACTTAATGTCGATAGGCATGGCATGTACGTACATGCCATGCCCATTGTGAGTTTACTTTATTAATTGTTTTTACACATAGATGGTTACACTTGTACCAAGTCACCAATCAGCCAATTATGAGCACTACTTGTCTAGCCTGTTTACCCTTTTCCTTGATTTACGGAAATAATTTACGGTATCTTATTTGGCTGTTACTAATGTTTACAACATTATAGTAATTATAATGTCTATAATAAAAATAAAACCATCAATTTTCATAGCATAAGTAGACAAAAAAAATGTTTTTCCTGCCAATTCAAGGAAAGGTGAAATCAGGTAAGGTCACAAGGTCTACTAATTGACTCCTTTGTGGCTAAGCACTAGCAGAGCCATCTATGTGCAGAAACATAAAAAAAAAAAAAAAAAAAAAAAAAAAAAAAGCATAGCATAGCATTTTCCCAGGTGGCATTTGGTTAAACTTCATATAAACTTGATTTAAAATAATGCCTAACCATTTCTTTTTATTGTAATATAGACCTCTGCTCCCCTTGTATAGAAAGGTCACCTAAATTGATATAAAAGTATATTTTTTAATTATTCAGTGTTATGTCAGTTGTTGCTGTCATTTATTGATAAGGAATTTGCCTGAAATTATAATAAATAACAAAATTTGATATTGTGTTTCACATTATCTTGCAGCTTCCAGAGTGGTACGTGTCCCAGCCTCGCAGTCGTCACCGTCAGCGCGAGATGCATCCTCTCCCTCCATGACTACTATGCAGACATACCTGGCAGCCATCCCAGGTTTCAAACCCAGGAAAAGGTAAATACTCATTCTCAGATACATTTTGATTGCTGTACAGTTTTGCCATGGAGAGAGTGGAATGTAGTTGTGGCTTTAAAAACCTTAGATTTGAGGGCATTAGTTGAAGTTGCGATAGGGTGCCAAGATAGTTTTATATTTTTTTTAACCCCCTCCTGATGGGTCACGCCTACAGGTGTGTAAACAAACCACTCAAAATGTTGGCATGCCACCACGGCTGTATGTGGTGGCGCGCCAAAGCGCAGCGAGCCAGTGATTCGGCCTGATGTACTGAACTCCCACGCTCAAAGTCAGAACGCTGCCATTGTTTGCCAGAGCGTAGAGTTTTTTTTTTTTTTTTTTTTTTTTTTTTTTTTTTTTTTTTTTTCTTAACCCATCACCAAGGGGTTAATATATACTTTTTATGGGAAGAGCAAATATCAGCCTTAATTTTGAAGTGTGTGGTATTAATATGGCTCTATCGTGTTCAGAAAAAGGGCCACTTGATTTTGTTTCATACTGTAACTGGGTTACAAATTGACTTTTATATATAACATCTTTAACCTGGGCCAAATGGGTCACGTGAACCGGGATTTCTGTTACCTGGTGGTGATTGGTTAAGGCTTTAGTGACACTCATCACACATATGCCACTCCCCTTTTTGTTTCAGGTCTCAACGTAAATTATCTGCAGCAGCACAGTTGGCACAGACAAAGGAAGGAAATGTGGACTTGGAAACACCAGACTCCATCCTTACAAGTGTCAACCTTAGAGCCCTCCTCAATAAACACACCTTCGGTAGCCTTCCTCCAGCTTACCAGCACAGACTGATCAAGCTTTTGCCAATGGTTGATCAGTCAGTTGGGGCTGATGACACTCTCAAGTGAGTATTTTATATGTGTAATATTACTTCAGATTTTTAGAATAACTTGTTTTTTGAGGTTTTTGGTTCCTCTTTGTTATATCTCTTTCACTCCCTGCAGAGTTATTCCAACGGGCCTCAATAATGAATTCTTTGGCCGTGCTTGTGAGTCATGGAGATGTCGTCTGGGTGAAGGAGAGTTCACACATGACAACCAGGTCAAGTTAAAAGTGGAGGCAGAGAGAGAACGTACAAAGTTAGACCCATGGAAGGTATGCTGATATTTAACTGTGTTGAGAAAAAAGGATATATTATTATTGTTGGTGACATTTGAATACATGATTTTCTGTAGATGGAAATTATAGAATATAATATTTTCTTCTGAATTATTAAACTATTGAAAGTCAAAATATGTGATGCATTGACATTTCTCTTTTTCCAGGTTGCCCACTTTGAACCACTTTGGGGAGTGAAGCAGGGTTGGTGCAGCACTGAGGGGGAAACCAGCTCTAGCAACCCTCCCTCCCCCTCTGGTGGGAGTGTGTCTATGTCACCCCCACAAGAGTCACACACAACACCAGCGTTTACTTCAAACTTTTCCGATGTACACATCAGCCAGCTAACTAAGGTGCTTGAGCACATAGCAACCCGTAATGAGAGAAGAACTCAAAGGAGAGCTCAGAGAAGAGCGGAGAGGAAAAAGCAAAGAGAGAGGGAGTTAGCTGAGGAACTCTCAAGATGTTCTGCAAGTCAGTCTAGCTCCATTAATCCATCTGCCAATTCTTTATTGGGGCTCCCCAGTGCTTCGCCTGCAACCCAAACGCCAAGCTCGGCAGCTGCGACTCCAGTGACCTTGCCCCATGTCCCAAGTTCTTCACCCCTTCCCCCAAACTCATTATCTTTGTTCACTAGTTCTTCATTACCATTGCATGCCAGTAAGAACAATCTTACTGAAGTGACTAGCGGTTCAGTGTTCTCAGTAGAGGAAAAGTTGCCTCTGCAATCTCATGTGGTGAATGTAGAGTCTGGTGTCTTGTCAAAGGATATCTTAAAGAGGAAAGATGGACTAGCACTCACCACAACCACGCCCTCAAAGAAAATCCGTGTGTCGAATGCAGATGTGACAAACAGTTTTGTTGCAAAACCAGGACCAACTAGTGCACCTGCCCAGATACTAACCACACCTGTCAGTTGTCAGAATGAAGCACCCAGAACAACTCGGGTTCCAACAACATCAGTGACTGTAACTCCTAAGATTGTCTCTAGTAGTGTCAGCATAAACAATCTTCCTGCTGTTGCAACAGGAGCTCCTGGGGTTCCCATAAAGCCAACAGCAGTGATGGTTGTAAGTGCTCCCTCATCAGTAGGGAGCACAGTGGTGGTCACAAATCCAAGGATGTCTCCTGCAGCAAGAATATCCCCAGTAACAAGAGTCTCACCTGGGCCATCACCTTCGCCTTCAAGACTTTCCCCAGTTGTACAAGTTGTCTCGCCCTCTCTTTCTTTGGCCCCATCACAGAGTCCACCAGCTAGCAGAACAGTTGTGGTAGCTGGTCAGGCTCGGCCAGTGGAGGTTTCATCCAGCGCCACACCAGTCTCCCATGTGGCAAATACTGTAGTTCAGGCTCTGCCTACATCATCAGTAGCCAGTCTTACTTCTAGAGTGAAACCTGTCAGAACACCTCAGGTAGGCCAAAAGTCTTACAGAAAAGTTTGCTTGTAACATTTTCAGGATCCGAGCCTAAAGCCACATCCCTACTGGCAGGGAGCAGGTCCAGCTAGGCCCAGGCAGATAAGGTTAGGAGCATGCATTTTACATGGCCTTGATGAACTGTGGTTTATGGATATTATCACAGAATGCATTTCTGCCTGGGGCTATTGGTACATAAACTGTTTCTGCCATCCAATTGCAGTATGGTAAGTTGCAAGTGTCAACACTCCCAATCTTGGACTGTACTCATTGTTAGTGTCCTGTTTTATATGTACAGTAAGTCCCCTTCTTATGAACTTTCTACTTACGAACATTCCATACATACGAACAAATTATTTAAAATACTCCAGTCCAAAAAATTATTTGAAAGATGCTAGCAAACTTCAAATTTCCCGGGCGCGAATATAGTTCACGAGTCTGCCATGCCGTGGCGCTGCTGCACTCACTCAGCTTTGTGCATCACTCGCCTCAGCCTGCCCTCCCACCATAAACATGAAAGCATCTGTTCATTATATCCTCATGTACTGCCAATTTTTGTGCATAATTTACTTTACCTGTGTATCAATGCATCAAAAATACTTATTGGTATTTATGTATAGGTATTCTTAATGTAACAAAACTTTAAAACAATGGGAAAAAAGGCAATGGAGACCTGACTTTGGATATACAAACAAATGGAGGTACGAACAGCCTCTCGGTCCCCATTATGTTTGTAAGTTGAGGACGTTCTGTATAGTGTTACAAAACATGTCAGTTCAGAATTTTATGCCAAGTTGTCCTTACTGGTGTAGATGTGGCTTGGGAAGGAAAATATTTGTAAGTTAGTTATTATTTCTTCTTTTGTTTCAGAGAAATTTGTTACTTGTGTTGTGTAAATTTGGTAGACTGAAGTTGTACATATATAAATGCCCCTTTTACTGTAAAGTATAAAAATGATTTAAGATGTAAAAGGTTTTAGGAAATAGTTTCTAAAATATATAATTAAAGGAGAGATGCTCTAATGTTGGTGGGGCTTTAATATTTTTATATGCTAACATGTCTTTACTCTGTCAAACACTTCAAATAAACCATTAACTTGTGAGTGAATACGCATTGATAAGTAGAACTGGTAAAACTCACCAGAATTAAAATGTTAACCTTTTAACTTTTAGGAATTAGTTATGAATTAAAGGGAGCCAGCTTTTGTACCAAAGACAGTTTTATCCATAAGTAAAGTACTGGAATTGATGCTGGAACATGAGAAAAACTATGGGATTTCAATTAACCCAATGCCAACAGGCATGACATGTACGTACTTGTTATGCCCACTGTGAGTTGCTCGTCACCAATGAGCCAATTACGAGTACTGCCTGTCTCGCCTGCTTACCCTTTTCTTTGATTTATGAAAATAATTTACGTTATCTTATTTTGCTGTTACTAATGTTTATAACATTATAGTAATTATAATGTTTATAATAAAAATAACACCTTCGATATTCATAGCACTAGTAAAAAATATGTTTTCCCTGCCAATACAAATCAGGTAAGATCACAAGGTCTACTAATTAACTCCTCTGTGGCTAAGCACTAGCAGAAACATCTGTGGGCAGAAAGCATTTTCCCATTTTCTATTAATTTTCCCCAGTGCCATTGGGTTAACCCCTGCTGACTGTCATGACATGTACGTACGTACTATGCCCACTGTTAGTTACTTGTTTGATTGTTTTTACACATAGATGGCTACACTTTTACTTTTCCAGCATTTTCCCCATTTTTTATTAATTTTCCCTGGCGGCATTGGGTTAATGATATTATACAGTTGGTGGCTAGGTATAGTTCACAATTGTCAGTCCTTTATTACACCTTCTAGCTTTTTTGCTCTCTTTCAGGGTTTGTCAGGTGCAGGAACCATAGCCTTGAAGGTAACCAGAAGCAGGCCTCCAGGAGGGGTTAACATCCAGAGATCATATGAAATCGTCCAGGCTGTCATTGCCAACAGCCCTAACAGGGACCAGTTACAAGCTCAGCTCAAAACTCCAGCAGCTTTACTTGCAGATGTCAAACCTAGCACCAGTGGGCAGACAGTGGTGGCTCCGGCAGTCAGCAGTGGCAATACTGTTGTGACCAATCCTGTGAACAGTCAGGTGGTGGTGCAATCTGCCCCACAGAACCAAGTGCAAACTATTACTGTGGTCAAGGCTGTTGCCACCACCAGCAGTAACAGCACCAGTAGCACATCACCTGTACAAGGGGCCCAACTCATTACCAGTGGCCCACGAATGGTCCGTCAGGTGGCTCTCAGTGTCAGTGGTGCAGCTGGGACCACTGTGATGCCACCCATAGCTGGCACACCGGGGACCATGGTGCTACGACAAATGGTCACACCCCAGTCTCTCTCAACCCCATCCCAGGTACCTTTGGCTTCTTCAAGTAGGGCCTCTTCTCTTTTGCTTGATGGTAAACTAAGGATTACATGTGGTGGTGGTGTTGGTGGTGTTGGTGGTGGAGGTGGTAGCAGTAGTGGTAGTGGTGGAAGTGGTGTTGGAGGCAGCTGTATGAGAGACTCAAATGCAGTTACAAATATCCCAGAAAGTAATGTCATTGTTTCAGGACAGAATAGTACTGATGTAGGTAGCTGCAGCATTGGTTGTGATGGGGAAGGAAATGGTGGGAGTGTTTCTGGCATTGCAAGCATCAGTAATGTGAGTGAGAGCCTCTGCAGTTTCAAGTTTGGGGAGCCTGTAACAACCATGGTAGTGATGTCTCAGCCAAGTGGTGTAACACCAGTTAGCAGTAGGGTGCTGGTCCTTCACCCAAGTAATAACAGTAGTGAAGGCATTAGTGACAGTAGTAGTGGTGGGTGTAGTGGCAGCATTGGTACAAGCAGTGGACCACTGCTTGTGTCATTTTCAACAGAGTCTCAGCATCACCTCAATCCTCAATCTGATTCCTCTGACATATCCCCCATATCCCTGAACCCCCCTAACTCCCCAAGTCCCCTCACAGTTTCTGCAGTACCTGTGATAGGTGGGGGAATCACCCATAATACTCAGCCGACACCTCGGCTTTCGGCTGCCCCATCTTCAGCTGTGTGCTTACCTAATTCCCACTCTATCATTTTGCAGGTGAGACTGTACTTGAGATTTGTGATGATCCTGTAGTATAAGTAGACTGTTTATTTTCTTTGATGGGCTGTGATATTATATTGTGGTCCTTTTTCATGTCTACTTTCAGTCGTCCATTCCTTGATACAGATTATGATGCCAGGAGTAGTTTGTTTGTATGGCTATACAAAGGTCATTTTATGCATGCATTTATTTGGTGTCAGAAACTTATGAAGGGCTTTAGTTAAAGCCAGTACCCCGTATGGATAAAAGGATACTTAATACAAAACCCTTCTCTGCCCATTTAAAATGCTTGTTTGACCATTTGTGCGCAGTAGTACACAAAAGATCTGTGTTTGTTATACTGACTTTTGCCATGGATTATTTGATTGCTTTTTTTGTTGATTACACGAGAGGATGAAAGAAAAATATATGCTTCTGATTTAGCATAGAGTCGAGCTATTGTAGGAAATCATTTTGTTTTTATGATTTTATTAGAAAAATTGGTATTAAATGTACATTACATGCATGTAAGTGTTTGATGACTAGAAATAAATGTTTCTCTGTGTGCATGTGTGTGCGTTTTTATGTGTGTGCATGTTTGTCTGGACTTTGAAAAATGATCTTATCACAGGTACATATTTTTCCTTGTATAGGCAAGGAATGACCAGATTAATTGATATTCAAAGAGGGTACAGTTATGGAGCATGATTTATATATTCTTGTATATATTTTCTTGTATATCTCTGCTATTTATGGTTACTTTATATCAGATAAGTAAATGAACTATTTATATTTATATAGCGATCATTGTTTTTCTCTTCTGTTTTAGAATGAATGGTTTTGAGTGTATTAGGAGCTTTCTTTTCCCCTATTGTAGTTCAGTGATGTGTTGTTCAATTTGTTGAGGTGATAACCAGAAATTATAAGTTATTTATATATGTTCTTTCTTGAGTGCAAACAGTTACTCATTACAATTTTTTCTTCTTTTTTGTTACTAAATTATCAAGTTTTGTGTGTCTAATTAAGTCTTTACATTTTTCAGCATGAGGTTTGTGAGGGCAGCATGGCCCCTCCAACAGCCACCTCCAGGCCAATCACCATCCTGCGACCCACAACAGGAGGAAAGCAGATAGTCGTACAGACTGTACCTGTCTCCAGTTTGCAAGTTTTAAGACTAAAGAACATATCCAATGTGAATGGAGAAGGCATAACTAGCAGTGATTCACAGCAACCTCCACGAGCAGCCAGTGCCCCACCCAATAAGAGTGGTGTCATGGTAGCTCTGGCCCCAAGACCTTCCAGTGTGGGCCCACGCATTGTTGTGCAAACAAGCAGTGCCCAGGGCTCCCCAGCCACTATACTTACTTCAGCTGGACAGCATTTTTTATCCGAAGGTGACCCCAGTCCAGGTGTAAGTAGCTGTGACAGTGACCAGCTTGTCACAACACGGGCTGGGGCCTCTCAGTCCTCTGACACATCATCAGAGAGCATCCAGGAGAACCAAGTGGAAATCCTAGCACCTGCAACTAGTGCGGCTCCAATGCAGTTGAATGCAAACTGCACTGCCCCTGGTACGGGTCCAGTCCCTGGCTCAGGAAACATACCAGCTGTCACAACAGTCTCCAGTGTTGTCAATTCATTTCAGAATCTCAATAACAACCCCAGTATGCCCCCACAGTCAGTGCAACACCAGCATCCACAACATCCAATTGTGTCACAGCATCCAAGCATGCCTGTGAGACCAAACATGCGTATGATGATGAACAACATGCCACACATGAATAACATGCAGACCCTGAACAATATGCAGCCAATGAATAATGTTGCCCAGATGAATGCAATGCCTGGCATGAATGGCATGGCCTCCATGAACATGCAGGGCAACCCAACAAACCAAGGTATGCATGCAATGCCACCACAGATTAAAGGGGACAACAATGAGGATGGTTGTCCATGCAACATGAAAGCCATGATTATGTGCATGAAGTGTGGTGCTTTCTGTCACCATGATTGCATTGGCCCTGCTAGATTGTGTGTAGCCTGCCTTATTCGTTAGAAAAACAGTGTAATATTTACACTTCATTTCCAGATTGGTCAACACAGTTACACCTCATTTTCGTAAATGAAGGGAATTTTTTTTCCTCATTTGTTTTCAGGGATGATTCCATGATGAAAGGGATGCATATTAGACATTGAACTAATTTAGTGCCTAGGATTACAATTTGGCATGTAATAAGACTTGCTATGCAGGCATATGTAAGACAAACAGTATGTTAGAGAAAACAAAATGCACACATAATTTGACCTAGAAATCTCTGCCAAAAGGTGGAAAAGAACCAGTGACTTTGGTGGCAGTGATGAAACCTCAAAGATAATTGTGAAATGGATATCTCAGGAACTGATGAGCCGGTCACTCATGCCTTTGTTTGTCGTTTTTGGGGAGAATACAACTGAAGGAAGAAAAGTAAATGCATCATAACTACTCTGATAACTGTTTTCCAAGACTCTGATTGAATAGGGGCAGTGGGTCCTCTGTGAGAACTCACCACCTCTAAGGAAAAGGAAAAATGGTCCTCTTGGATTAGCATTTAAACACACAAGACAACAGACAGTCGATGCATTTGGAAAAGTATGTATTGTGATAACAGTACAATGGTGATGGTGCACTTTTTAAGAGGACTTCTTAACAGATGTACCAATGTGTTTAGAATTGCCCATCATTTTTTAGTACTCGGTTTATTGTAAAGGTTTACCAACACTGAAAACACAAAGTATGTTAATGCTGCTCCCTTTTAGTGAGATGATTTCTTTTATTGTTACATAACATAGCAAGAGGATAAAAGTACAGTTGGTATCCTCTGAACTCTTGATAGACACATCTGTTAAGCACAGTCTTTATGCTTAATGAATATTTGTTCAGTTAAAAAAAAAAGAATAAAAAAAGTGATTCTCAGTGCGGGTTGGCCAGGCATTGTATAACACAGGTAATGAAGACATCATTAAACACACAACCTACCAACCCAGTCTGGTCTTGTGGACTAGACAATTCTTTCTAAGCTGATTGCCAATGTGAGTTTTTTTGAACATGGTCATGACTGTGAAATAATTTTCTTATTTTAATGCACAAAATATTTTTCATCTGTTGGATTTATTTATCATTATTTACAGAATATTACCACAGATTATCAGTATCATTGCCATCATTATCATTAGCAGAGTTGGCTTTATCTTTATCATCATCATCATCAGTCATCATCATCATCATCATCATCAGTTATCATCATCATCATCATCATCATCATCATCATCAGTTATCATTAGTCATCCTCAATCATCATCATCAAAATCTAACAGCAGCTGCAAAAATCATGGCCTTCTTCATCATACTTTCTTCACCAGTCCTTCATTGTGCAGGATGTTATGTTTTTATTCAAGTATGAGTATAGCAATCTAAAGTTCTAGCATGGGTCTTTTTAAAATGCTATAGGAAACTGATATGTTCCTGTAGTCAGTGACATTATTATTATTATTATTATTATTATTATTATTATTATTATTATATTATTATTACTGTCATCATCATCATTATCAATATCATTATCATGGTCATACTTCTATCATCATCATAATTTTCATTTTCTTTCCATTCTTGAAGTAAAATTTGGATGTGCACCAATATCGGTCTTATAATGTATGGTGAGATCATGTATGTTGGACATATGATTCCAGTTTTTGTCAAGTGTATTAACAAAGTTTGTGATATTGGAAAGATTGTTGTTGTTACTGTTGCATTTGATTTGTATTTTTTTACTCTTATATCATCAATATCTCTTGTCCTGCACTAAAACATGATATATACATATTTTTTACTTTAAACTGTTAACATTGTTAGTACTAATAGTATTTTATTTATTTGACAACTGCTGTTACTACAACCAGTCATCATCTTCATCATCATCACCACCTCTACCACCACCTCCACCACCACTACCACCACCACAACCACCACCACCACCACCACCACCATCACCATCACCACCATCACCACCATCACCACCATCATCATCATCACCATCATCAGTAGTCGTCATCATCAATGCAATCATCATTCCTTGTATATCATATTTTTTATCATGTCATGTCTCACATGGTTTTATTAAGTAAAATGTACATTTTTTCTGAAGGTGGAAGTGCTAATTTTGTTTTTAATTTGACAGTAAAGCTCAGAGACATGATGAAGAGGATGACAACACCAAAAGAGAACATAGAACAGTGCATCAGAAAAGTCTCATGTGTTGAGTTTAGCCTAGATACTTAAAAAATTTCAGGGGTTGCCAGACTTGAGGGATGTCAAAATTATGAGCCTGAAGTATTAGCCAACTGTTTCATAGCACAACCACAATATGCTAAAGAAAAAAACAAAAACAAAAAAAGATTGTAACATGTGTATTAAAATTTGAAATGGCAAATGAGTGTATTGTTTCTATAAAACAAGAATGAATATGGGAGAGTAACCTGTCCCACTACCATGTCCATCCCAAGCATTTATTTTATTCCTGTGCTTTCAATCTCATATTCTTATTCTCTAGTCTTTCTCTAGCTGGTTTTTACCATTATTATGAGACTATTTAAAAAACTGTTTTTGTTCTTCTCTTTCATTCCTTCCCCCCCATACCATTGTTGCCATGGGGGAGAGAGATCCAGTGCTGGGGATCATCTCTTCCTTGGCCCTTAGCCCTTGATGCAAAGGCTTAGGTCTTTCCCCTTAACCCCTTGATGACGGGTGAAGAAAACTAAAAAAAAAAACACTACACTCTGGAGATCAATGGCAATGCGCCGACTTTGAGTGCGGGAGGTTGGTACATCAAGCCGAATCACTGGCTCATAGTGCTTTGGCGCGCCACTGCCGCGTACAGCCACACACCACAGATCAAGCAGTTTGTTTTGAAGCCTCACGGCGTGACCCGTTGGGAAGGGGTTAACACTCCCTTGCTTCTTTTCATCATGAGGCTTAGGAGACTGAAACTGAGGCCCAATGTTTGATATCGCCCTTGCTTTGGTCCCCCTAATCCTTTGCTCGTTGTTGTCATGAGGGGGCTTAGGAGACAGAGGCTCGGGCCCAATGTAAGAGATCACCCCTACCTTGGACCTCGGCCCTAGCCTTAACTAATTTTGCCAATTTTTGACTTTCCTTTTCCTACTCTTCTTCATCCCTTTCTTCTCACCATGACCAATTATGATTTTTTTTTACCCTTGTTAAGGGCATTAACCTGGGTCGAGGGGCAGGTGATAGGAACATGCTGTTACAGGAAAATCTGGCTGTAGGCCGGGTGACATGAACCTGCCATCATGAGTTGATGCTGAAGGAAAGGTGATAGAAGAGACTCACTATGACTACACAAACCTATTGGGAGGTTTATTTTACACATTTGGTGATATTGCTTTATTCCCATCGATGTATGAATGTGGAATGAAATGTCTATGAGCAGTGACTGGAAGAGCTCCGGCTGTATGGAGGACACCATTACCATATTCAGCAACGTATTCCTGGTGCCTTGAGCGGTAATGCAGGTTGTTTTACAGAAAATTAGATATTACATTAAAAAAAAAAAGTAACATACTGTTACTTAAAAAAAAAATTCTTGCACAAAGTTGTAGACTATCTTGAGAGATTATTGAAGTCTGTACAAAGAAAAAAAACTAATACCATCTGGATAATGCAAATTAAATGGGAAATTTGGACATTGGAAAATGGCCAAAAGTTGGAAAAACATTTATGCATAAAAAGAGTAAATAACTTCATAACTAGGAGGCATAGAGTCTTGTCATTGTGCACATGTGTTCGCATGTGGCTGGCCTACAAGTAGGCACCCAGCAAAGTGGCCGCTCATGTAAGCCTAATGCCCCAATTTTTTGTTGGTGTCTTTGCTGTGATGCAACTGGATCCAATCACTTAGCCTGTCTAAGGTTTCCCGACCCCCTGCCTCTCCATTGACCACTGATCTGACCACAGATACTAATACCCCCTACTCAATATTTACTGTTAACTCTATCCATTCTGAATCATCCATCCTTCAGAATACACTCCTTCCTCTCTCCCAACATCCTCCACTTCATAGCCTACTGCACAGTCTTCTTCATTGTCTACCCCCACCCCGCTTATTACCATTCTTTATCCTTATTGTCCCCCCCCAATCCCTTGCCCGTTGTTGTCGTGGGGGGGCTTAGGAGGCGGAGACTGGGACCCAATGATGGGGAACTCCCCAACCTTGGGACTCAGCCCTCGACTCAACTAATTATGCATGGTCTTTTTTTTCCCTTCCCACTTTTGTTTCTGTCCCTTCACCAAACCCTTCTGCTATCCACCTCCTAAGGTGTGAGAGCCGTGCTGAAAGGATGAAAGGCTGACTTTGTGCCAGTCCTGAACGGCCTGAGGGAGCCATGGGCACGGTATTCCCCTGATTTAGTTATCTAGCCCTTACCCCTCAAGGGGACCCTGAGGGGTGGACTGCTTTTATCCCCAACATAATCCAGGCTTCCCATGGCCAGTAATGAAAATATATCCCCACTGTTAGGGGCAATGAGGCTTGCCCCTTTATCAAATAGCCCCAACGAAGTAAACCCACCCGATTCCCCGACCCCAGGCTCTCCTTTGACCACGGCTCCAAACACTGCAATAACTACCCCTTCACCAATGCCTACTAGTACAGTAGCCAACAATCAACCCTCAAGGGACATTTCCACTCTCCCAGCATGCCCAACTTCAACACCTCTACCCCCACAACCTCCAACATCAACCACCCCATCCTCCCTTATTAATACCTTACAGCCTTATAGCCCACCTCTCCATAACACTACCTCCATCAACACTACTCCATCTTCGTCACGCCCTCGCCCTTCTACCACCCCTATCTCTAAAACAATCTTGAATACTCTCTTCAGTGCAGCCAAATGGGACCGATTTTTCGTGATCCCTCCCACAGCTCCCTACTCTAACAACACCCTTCTCTTCCAACAATGCCTCCAAAAACAAGTAGGTAAAGTCTCTTTCCGTAGCCGACCCGACCGCTCCCGTCTTGTAACAGTAACATCCGAAAACCAAGCCATAGCATTAACAAAACTAACTGACCTAAATGGTAACCCCATCCTAGCAGAACCCCATCCAACCCTCAATACTTGCACCGGAACAGTCTCAATCTCACCAACAAATTGCCCAATCTATGACAAAGAATGGTCAGATTGTGGAGAAGATCTACTTGCCTGTCTCACAGACTACGATGCAACATCAGTACAATGCTATTCCATCCCCCCCAGAGGTCATCGAAAGAAACCCACTAACATAGCCAAAATTACCTTCCGTAGACATGACCTTCCCTTTAACGTCTACATAGGAGGAGAATCCCTCCCTGTTCGTCCATACCAACCTCCTCCACGTCAGTGCCAAAATTGTTGGCGTCTAGGACACCCAGCCAAACACTGCCGTTCCACAGCCAGATGCCCATTATGTGCCCAACCTGGCCATACCCGATCTAACTGCTCTGCACAATCACGCACATGTGCCAACTGTGGCGGCCCCCATAATGTATTTTATAGGGGCTGTCCCACCTACAAATTTGAATCTGAGGTAGCAACTCTCAGATTCAAACTCGGACTCACACTGCGTGAAGCCAGACAGGAAGCACGTCGACGTGGATTCTCTCTTACTCCTTACTCCAGTAATACTGCTCATCCTAACACTTCTCCTAAACCCACCCCTCCTACATCTAACCCCCCCACTAACCCCACCTACCTTCCCCTGTCAAACTCTTTTGCCATCCTAAATCCAGAAACTCCAATCTCTACTACAGATACTCCAATCACCACTACAACCCCAACACCTTCCCCTCTCCCTCCTCGCACTCCCCGTAACAGACAGAACAAACGTTCCACCCCCTCTTCCCCTACCACACAATCACCCCCTCCATCCTTTGCCCGTACTCTTGAGACAGCAGTCCTCTCTTCCCCCCCTCACAAAAAATCCTTTATCCCCCAAAACTCCCCAACCAACTCCACAGAAGAAACTATTGAAAATATTCAAGATTACTTAATGAAAACCGACACTCAACCTACAACTCCTGCTCCTTCCACACTCCAAGTAATTGCTGATATCCATCCTCCTCCTAACGATATCCCCCCTACACCCTACCCTCCTACCCCCTCCCAACACAGCCCATCCCCCCTGACCCCAACCCTGCCCACATTAACTCTCCCACCATCCCCTCTATCCCTTCCACTCCCTCCTGGATACACACGTGAATCCCTTATGTCACAAGTATCTCCTTCCTCAGACCCTCCATCTCCTACTACCCCTCCTGATAGAACACCAACTCCCACACCTCTCCCATCTCAAACCTCTCAGTCCTTATCCCACCCTCTAGCTGCTTCCCCTTCAAATTCTCCAACACGTACTACAATCTATATCACTAAATCAACGAAAGTATAACTATCCTTCATTGGAATATTCGCGGTTTCCGCTCCCACAGACCTGACCATCATATCCTTTCCTCTTATAACCCATCTATTGTATGCCTTCAAGAAACCTTTCTTATGCATACCCTTTATCTAATATAACACCCGACCTTAACCCTTTCACTCACTAATTCCTTTGCCCAGCTTAGACAACTAATCACTAACTCAACCACCCTTCACTAACATTAACTATAGTGCTACATGACCTTAGATGTCTAGCACATTTATCTTGCTTTTAACCATTAACCATTATCCTTATTGTCCTCCTAATAGTACTACTATCTTCCTCCTGCCCTCATCCTTCTACTGGTTCCATCTCTGCAAACCTTTTGAGTACCCTTTTTGGCCCAGCCAAATGGGAACGATTCTTTGTGGTCCCCTAAACACCCATATTGAGACAGTACCCTTCTCTTCCAACAGTGCCTCAAAAAACAAGTAGGCAAAGATTTCTTACACAGTCTTCCACAGTTGTTCTGACTGTTCATACCTTGTTACAGTTACATCTGATTCTGAAGCTTGTGCACTATCTACCTTGACTGACTTCATTCCTCCCTTAATACTTGTACCAGTACTGTTATCGTCTCCCCAACTGTGATTGTCCTGTTTACAGCAAGGACTGGTCAAAATGAGAAAACGACTTACTCGCATGCCTTGTTGACTGACTGTGATGCAGTAGCAGGCCAGTGCTACACTATTCCTCCCAGAGGCCACTGCAAGTCCTACACCAATATTGCCAAGATTAGCTTCTGTAGGCTTGACCTCCCCCATGATCCCCCCAATCCCTTGGGACTCGGCCCTCGACTCAACTAATTTTGCATGGTCTTTTTTCCCTTCCTACTTTTTCGTTTGTCCCTTCACCAATCCCTTCTACTATCCACCTCCTAAGGTGTAAGAGCCGTGCTGAAAGGATGAAAGGCTGACTTTGTGCCAGTCCTGAACGGCCTGGGGGAGCCATGGGCACAGT